CCACGTTTATTTTTTTTTTTTTCTTGAACTCCGATTCTGCACGATTTTGCCCCCCTGCTTCAGGGCTAAAGTAAGAGGGTACAAAAAAAAGTGCACAGGGTACATTCAAGTACTCAATGAGTACAATCCAAACCAACAAAAAAAAGTTCGATTTTTCAAACTTCGATGCCAACTTCACATAGCTATCTAATCGGAATCTATGATACTTTATAGACAGTCAAGTTTATGGCCTGTGAAATGAAGGCTGGAACAGAGCCAAAATGCCTGTGTGCATAAATGCCTGTGGATGACTCTATTTTGTGGCCATACATTTTTTACGATCACTTCATCCAGATGCATATTGCCACAAAAATCTCTTTAAAATTTTTTTCTCAGCATTGAAAAAGAATAAATATTTTTTGACTCACCCATTTTTTGGAACAGTGGAATGTACTGGGAGAGTCCGATCTCCGCGAGCCACTGGTCAGCTTCGGTGAGTTCTCCATTCTTGCCATTAGCTGCCAGCATTAATAATTTTCCAAGTGACAAAACCATGGACAGGGCTAGAAATACCCCTGACAGTACAGTTGACCATCTTGCCATTGCAAATATCAATCTAAATAAACGGATAACATTGAATCTCATTTAACATCATTCATCAATTCAAGGTCTTGTGATTCATGCATTCGAATAATTCTCATTTTCGTTGCTCCAAAATCCCAACTCCGACTTTATCCTAAATTTGTTTGTAAACAAATAATCCGGTGACCAATGGAACTGGATTCTTACCACATTTTCGGTATTTCTGGGAAGACAGATGATTTTTAGCTGCCGGTGATTTAATTTTATTTATTTCAATTGCATGACACGATGATACGGTAAAAAAATACACTTGACGTTCGGAGCCCGGTTTAGCATGGCTATAACTTTCAGGAAAACCCCCAATAGCCATGAGTGGATTCGTTGGTTAGCTTTAAATATATCTGGGTTCAATCCTGAAAGATGGCATCACTCGTGAAATCCTGTACTCCCCGCAATTCACCACGAGAATTCAAAATATTAAATAAAAACCTGAACATTTCGATTAACCAGATGTAAAACAGGAGTAAATAATCATCGTTATTAAATTTAAATACATTTTATTTATTCTACACCGCTGGTTAAATTTCACAAACGTAATTCATGAAATTTTCGTCGCAATGATAATCAGGATAAGTAAAGTGTTGGTGACTATAATAATTTTGGCTTGTCGACGTACTGTTTGCCATGATGGATAATTGTTGCGAATGTACCTGCCACCATGGCACCCCAGAAGAGCATGTAGAGAAGAACATCTGTGGTGTAACTCGATGGCAGTATGACGTGAGCAATGAGCATCGATGATGCAATTAAAAGGACCAGAGGGAATGTTGCGTACCGCCAATTCCTTTCGAATTCCAAAGGACATTTCACACTCATGCATTCACCGTCTTGAATGATGTACCTTCCAAGGAATAAATCAATGGCGTCCTGACGATATCCATCAGCAAAATTATTTTTATAATATCTCGTCAAGGAGTTGATGCCATCCCTGAGTGCCCCAACCTTCGTCCGCTTGCCAGTCCTCGTGAAATCAGTTTTCAATGCTCCAGTCCCGGAATACTGAGTGCTAACGACATCAGCATTGTCAGCCCAGACGTGTTTGAAGAGTTGTTCGAAACTGGGATGATCCTCGAGTCTCGTCAGAATTCCCATTCTCCCCAGGGCGTCAGTCAACGCTCTTTTAGCCAACATGCTTTGGACAACGTTCGTCCTGTCAAGACAATCAATGCAATTTGTCCTGAAGACACCGTCCTGCACGGAGAGCAGAGCTCCATCCCTGGAGAGAAGAAAGTAACCCATCTGCTCCTGATCGTGCGCCAATCTATCCATGAGAATGTTCAATCGATCCCACCTCATGTGCCTGCACTCAGCATGAAAATCAAAGGCCTCATATCTCACATTTTGATTGCCTATTCTCGCCACAGTATCCCTGAAGGCTTTCTCAAGGACGTCCTCAGCTCCACGATGATCTATCAAATTCACGAGTATCTGTTTTCCATAATGAAAAATCTGGGTATCAAAATGTCTGGATGCTGCGACCTGGTGATTCTCGTGGGAGTTGAGCTGGGGCTTTGGCTTGTACTTCAGATTGGGCGATTGCTGCCAGAAGAGGGGGATTGATCCTCTCGTCTGAACGAAGGAACTTCGATCTCCATTTACCTCAATTATTTGCTCTGTTTCAACGTAATTGGAGACATTACCGTTGGCATCAATTCCTCGGGAGAAGAGCCGAGTGCCAGCCCTGTGAACACTTCGACGAGAAATTATTCCCCAATTGAATGATATACCATTTACAACAACAGTATTCAGGGAAATGAATCCATGGATGATTGGCAAGCAGAATTTCGCGTGTTCGGGGCGTGATGACAAGTCCTCCAGGAGGTAAGCATTCCAGATGAAGCGAGAATCTGCTCGTTCATGGAGTGGCATCTGGAGAAATTCGGGTGGTGTATTGTGCAGCCTCTGCATGGAATGACTGAGATCGTATGTGTAACTGAAGTAAAAATACGGTGTATTTAACACTGTCTTTATCATCTCCAGGTAAGTCGTGTTATTTTGAATTTGCTTTTCACTCAAATGCAGGTCTGATTTTGAATACGGTATGACCTCGGTGGTGATGGTCTTGAAAATCTGCTGGCCAGCAATCGTTCCAATCTGTTCAGCTTCAGTTACTACTATGAAGTATCTACAAGCTAATAGACGAATTGTTCCGACTATTCCCCATATCTTTCGTCTGCTCGCTGTCTGGGGAATTTGACTAGCTGTTCCAACTGCTCCCAAATTAAACAAATTGCACAATTATCCCCCAGTACTTCAATTAAATTCAGTAATGAATGATTTTAAATTTACCTTGGGTAAAGATATGTTGATTCAGTCTGTCAACTATCAGCAGCACTTTCGTGCCCACTGCCTCGACATAAAACTTTTCATTTGTTGTGTACCTGAACAATGGACAATTAAATAAACAATCCCATCTGTTCAAAACTGAAATCAATGAATTTGAAAAATCACTCACAGATACAAATCGTCGTAGACATCAGTATTCCCAGCCATTGTGGAATGCCAAAGTCAATTGAAAAATTGATTAATCGATTAATAAAAGCAAACGATACCGCATCAATTAATATACCAGATAATTGATCTCTGATAACGAAAAAAAAAATCGCAACACCAATTGGTTAAAATTGACCGCAGGTCACGCGAATAAGTGAAATATTTGTGGACTGTTCGAGAAGTTCGTCGCAATATTCCTTTAATTACTCGTTATTGTTAATCTTGATGATCACATTGGGAGAAAAAAAACGTCGCTCGTCATGCTGCATGCAGTAATTGACAGGTGCATTAGCAGAGGATCCCTCCAACCAGAGAGGATTGACTAAAGTGGAGGCTCAGTTCTGGGGGTTTGACTGACCCCAGCGGCATCATATTACTGCACCCCAAGAGAGGGAGGGCGCCACACGCAATTAACCTGGGATTAATGGCGGATTTTCAAGACGACGGTAGCACAGAATCATTCCAATCGGTCCAATCACAAGTGATGATTTGTAGCTAAGCCACTCGAGGCATGAGCATTCAACGTTGTCCTAGGGTTAGTTGACTAGAGAATGATAATACTGTAAGAAAACCAGAAAAAAAATGAAGGAAATAGCGGCTCCACAGCAGTCGAGTCATCCCCTGACGAATCATTTTGCGACGAATAACGGAAATTCCAGTGGAAACAGCGTGACAAATGGTAACAATCAAAAGAGATACGCTGTCCTGAGCACCGAGTGGATATCAACAATTGGTGAGGAATTGGGAATGCACCCACTACCTGATTCTGTGCTGAAGAGACTAGCTGAAGATGCCTCTTATCGTCTACGGGAGGTTCTCCACAAGTGTGTGACAAGAATGAGGCACAGCAGACGGCGACGACTCACATCGACAGATGTCAATTCAGTGATAACCAATCTCTGTGATGCTGATCCAATCCTCGGGATTCCGGATCAAATGCCAAGTTATCACTCTGAGGCTAAAGTATTCGTTCCTCATGAGAGCTTCATCGATCTCACCAGTAGATCTGTCAATCCTGTGAGCCTGTCACAACCTGGAGCTCCTTATCTCCAGGAAACTGAGATATGCGATGCCAAGTTGACTGAGGCCAGGCACAATTACGCCAAGAGAGCACTCAAGACCATTTTCAATGGATCGCAGAAGACTTTTCAAGTATTGCTGAATGACTGCTCTACTAATCCACAACTCGGGGGCGAAGGGGTCATTGATACCTTGATATCCACAGCCAGGTCAACAGTCATCTCGAATAATGCTCAGTACACTAGAGTTACAACGAGGACTTGTCAATTGATCATTGCTATTGCCTGCAACAGTGAAGCTGTTTATCCTTATCACTTGTCTTCGGTGAATTTTCCATTCAAATAGATCCTCTAAATTCGGTTGAATGATGTGTCACTGTCACTTTTATATTTTTTTTAGGTAGAAAAATTGACGGAATTGCTGCTGGAATTACTGCTGGGCTCCAGCTTCATAAATCCTCATGTTGAGTCGTTATTCAAGACTTGTGCACTGAAATTAATGCTGAGATGGCCTTCGGTGGCGGATAAATTCACTCCAATGTTGGAGGATGTTTTTGTGAAAGAGGACAGAGGGATTGCAGCCACTGACAAGAAAAGACTGACTGCTATGGAGCTGCTGGCTGGTGTCCAGCCTCTCACGTTCTTCCAGCAGGCACCTGGAGGTCTTCTCTCTTTAGATAATGTTGTTAAAAGGGCACCTGCTGGGTCAGCCCTTTGGGAACAATTAGCCGTACGTATCGGATTTATTCGAAATTTATATCACCTCGTAATAGTCAGTCCCAATATATTTTTATAATTTTAATGTGAATTTCTAGTTGTCTGTTTGTGCCTTCATGAAGTCAAGACAGCAGGGTCTCGATTTGTCACCCCTAATCGAACATTTTGGGGACTCAATACTGCCTTATCTCAATAAAAAACAGGATAAAATTGAGAGCAAGGAAAATTCAATGCCTGTGGTTCTTCCAATAATAGTTAGGAGTAAAATAAAATATGCGAGTATTAGACAGTGTTTGAAGAGCAGTGGGGACAGACAAGTGACCTTTCCAGACTCGATATTACGAGGACCAAGAAGAGAAATCAGGTAAAATTCGGTGGAAAAAATTGATAATTCATCTGTATCGATATTTTTACCATGTACTTCTGCACTCCAGGTTTGCCTTTGCTGGTGGTCGTCCAGTTCCCCCGAACAATTTACGACGAGTGAGTTTACGTGCCAGTTACCAAATACTCAGGAGTGATGTGCGTGCCACGACTGCACTAGTCGCCTGCCGACGACTCCTGATACTCAAGGATAGAAAGAAAAATTTCCGAGGTTCTTACAATCTAGCTGATGTTCACTTGTAAAATTTGTCATTTAATTATTTATGTGTTTCATCGAGTGTAAGTCTGAGGGACTATTCGAGCCTCTGAGTTTCTCAGAATATTTCATTGTGAGGACATTAATTCTTTGGGAAAAAAATTAAAAACGAGAAATTTGATTGTAAAATTTCATATCATTCTCAATATTATTAATTCTTAATTTATTCAATAATTCATGCATATTCACTCACAATCGAGCCTTCCAGAGCTGATAATTAGGGTATTCACAATTCGGATTGATTTTTTCTTTACGAGTTTCTCAATTAATCTCAATTAATCTCCTCTGATGGGAGGCAATCTCAAAGACTCCTCGATATTCCAAATCGATGTAGATAAAATAATTAGTACTATCACTTTGATTATATCATTCTCATTAAATAATTCCGATAATTCCACCATTTATAATCTAAAATCTGACACCAGCCTGCCAAAGCGGGTCGTCCAATTATTCTACACACGAATGACTTTTCCAATTAAAGACAATCTTGAAGACCTCTCGGTATTTCCGATCGAGGGAGACAACAAGAATTGATGAGACCGGTCTTCTTAAAATGAAATCTCAGTGGTACCTGCGAGAAAAATAAATAAAAAACGACTGAAATACTCCACTCCATATTGCATTAAAAAAAAATAATAATTGAAGCTCGTACCTCAGCAAGTCGTCGTTTGCTCAATACCCTGTCTTTATAGAAGAATCTGATGTGACCATCGAGACACACAACGGTTGTTCCCTCATTACTCCACTCAGCCTTGGACAGACAATTAAATACAGGTGCAGCCTCAGACCTTCCAAACCTGGCGAGCCTGCCAGATTTCCTAAAGTTGGTTCTCTCGACCTGACTTTGATCCTCTTGACCTCTGTCGTCATCATCATCTTCCTCAAAGACAGAATCGGCAGGTGGAGAGACATTGCCAAGCCACTCAGCAACATAACGATCCTTCGTCCTCCATCCAGTTGCCTCCACATTCACCTGATTTTTCACAGACTCTGGTTGCATCCGCCTGAGTGGCAGATTCGTTGCGTCATCCTGAGCCTCAGAGCCCGACGCATCCTTGAGGACTCTGGTGGCCATGGGACTTACAAGATCCACTATATGATCATTAACAGCAATTTGAGGGATGAATCCAGTTTTTCCCATATTATTATTGATCTCAGGATCGATAATTTCCATCGACTGCTCATCCCCAGGTTTTTCCTCACAGGAGATGTCCTCGAAGGGATTGAGTGATGGCCTCGTGACGATAATCGCAGGCTTTAACAAGATCTCCTCAGAGCCTTGAAGTTTATTCCTCATTTTTTCTCTGTGCGTCAGCCAAAAGTCTTCGATTTTCCTGGCGCAGGCAGCCCGATGCTCCTTTCTGTACCTCTCGAGCTCGAAGAATAAAGACTCCGTCATGAATATCCTCTTGCTCCCCAGGTGCATGAGAACAGCGATATTCTCGGAGCCCACGATTTTTCTCAGAGCCGCTTCGAACTGCATTTTAAAATCAATCGAGTGGATTGGAAGGTAGTACCTCCTGGAGAATTCTTCGTAGGTCAGACGTATGGGAAATTTGCATTTGGCCAGAGGTAGAGCATCGATGATACCCGAGGAGATGAGCTGCTCCCTGAGATCCTCCTTCACGCAGTCCTCTGCACGTCTCGGTTTCACACACCTGATGTAATGAGCATCACATTTATTGAGCTCCACCATCAGAGAGTCCATGCTACTCTTCAATTTCGACAGAGTCGTACTCTTTTTGCTGGCAATTCTCCCATGATCGTTGAGTGTGTCATCAGGTACATTTGTCACGACTTTGAGAAGGGAATTCGAGGTCTGGTAGAAGCTGGTGGACAGCTCCATCGGGACTTTGTCAGTGTTCTTCTCCAGGAGATCGTGGATGTCGTACTCGACAGGGCAGGAGTAGTGACTGATGACGAAGGAGTGGGCGTGACCCTTGAGGAAGATCCTGGCATTGGACTGTCTCATGAACAGCTGCTGTGAGACGATGGAGGGACTCGGTGGTCTTGGGGTCTGACAGGCGTCGTTCATCGTGGAAAAGAGGCTCTGCTCAATTATACTCAAACGATTTCTGTAAATTGTCAGGGTTGGAGGAGGAGGAAGAACACTGAGCCCCTCCTCTGCGAGGGCCCTCTGTCCATTCTCCAGATAATCCTCCATAAAATACAACTGGAGTCGCTCTGTCGTGTAATTAATGCAGAGCTGTTCAATACCGTTGGACTCGAAGCACTCGAAACCGAATATATCGAGAATTCCCAGCCAGTGATTATCTCCCTTATCCGAGATCGTGTCGTTTATCCTGTCGACGAGGGAGTGGAATAATCTGTCGTAGATCCAACGGATGATGCTGAAGAGACGATGACGACAGGCCTCCGAGGTTCGCAAACCCCTTCGATACATCGTGTGGCGTCTTCTCGTGCTCTTCGGGCAGATGAGAGTTGTCGTCAGGAGCTCGGCTAATTCGTGTTCCTGAAGAGAGGATAATCTGCAGGCGTTGGTGACAGCTGCCAGGGATTTCTCATCAGTAGTGTCCATGTTCCAGTTCTCTGGAGACGTCTCGTGGAATTTAATGTTCCCCATATGGAGAAGGAGAGCGAGAACCTGGAAGATCTCGCTCTTGTAGGTATCAGTAAAACCGAGGGTCTGCATCGCCTGGGCAGTGGCAACAAAGGCATTTTGGTATGTCAGGAACCTCGAGGGGTGACTCTCCCCAAGGATCTCGTAATTATCGCCCTGGGAGAGACCCAAGGGCGAGAGCTCTTCAAGTGAGAGTCCTACCATCATCTGATAAAAAATTTCAAAGTTGTCGTAGCCCTGTGTTACTCTCGTCCTCTCCAGGAGAAATGAGTGGATGCAAGCACCTGTGATTGCTCCACCATTGTACTGCAGCTGGACGAGTTGTCCATGTCTTGAACTACTTGGATTTCTCTTGGTACTTCCTGTACTGAATGCTGATACCAGTGGACAGACGTTACCAATCTCATGTGCAATGTTCTCGACACCATCTGAAAACTTGAGCTTTCCTGTGTTCCTGTCGATACCTGCCAGAAAATCCAGTATTTTGCGGGAGCTGAAGGTCTTTCCTGTTCCACTTTCTCCACTTATCACTATCACCTGGGATTTATTCCCCAGGCCCTGGACTAGTCTGTAACGAGCTCGATTTGCTATTGCGTACAGGTGAGGTGGGGCATTCAGGAGGACCATGCCCATGTCCTTGGAGTATTGATTGTGGTGGGACTCATCGTACAGATCTGATAGAATCTCAATACCAGGATTCACTGCCAGCAAGAGAGGACCCACCCACGTGTAAATCTGACCACGTTCCAGGCGATGGAGCAAGTACTCAATTGCTAAGAGGTCGCAATTAATTAATAATCGAAATCCCTCCTTTCCCTTGAGCTTAAAAAAATTCTATCATTTTTAAAAATCGCGCCGAAATACTGGGGCAATTCAATTTTCTCAAATCTTGAAAAATACAGATATACAGGCTCTCAATTTTTTATTCAACGATTTGATAATTAATTAAAATAAAATCAGTGATAATTGAATGAAGTAAATAATACGAATAATTACGTACAATCAATATCTTCGGAAATAGCACTGAGATCGTTGATGTATTCCCACCCAAACGGCGAAATCGGCGTCTAAAATCGAAATTCCGATGTTCAGAAAATAATTTGAGAGTGCAGTATTTATAAAAATCAGACAATTCACCTTCGCCATTTCCAAAGTCCGTATTCCACTTATGAAAATAGCATTTGTACTGAAGGAAAATCTCTCTGAAGTGATCGGGCACTCCTCGTATTGTTTACAATATCAAGGCTACGGATTAAATGACAACAATCGTTAGGCAACTGTCTCCCAATTGAAATCGAATTTCCTATTCAATCTCCGAGCCCTCGAACCGAATTATTTCCGAACGAAATGAAAATATTAATCACCACAGATATTTGAAATTCTCATTTATTATCAATTTTTAAGGAAAACATTCTTTATGATTATCATTATAAAAAATTAATTGATTAATAATTGGTTTCATCGGGGCAATCGTTCGCCCATCATCTCCAAGAATTTTGTGGAATCTGCGATTATTTTCTCGAGACGTTCCTTAGTGGCTGAACTCTGTTTTTGCTCTAGTTTACGTTTTGCCGATTCAATCGCGACCCGATATCCTGTGACATTTCTAAATATCTTGATTTGCTTGGCAACACCGACCAGAAGAAATTCCCCGGAGGCGTCAAAAGTCAGACAAGACACGAAACCTGAGGAAATTAATGAAGACCAATTAATATCAATTTCTCCTGCAATTTCGAATTAACATTTCGATATTTCGAATTGATATTTCAATTACCAAGATCCTCAATCGTTGTGTCGATTTTTCCACTGATGGTTGAGAAAAAAGAGAGAGACGTGTCATGACTTATTGCCAATACCTCGCCATTGGGTGATAGTGCGACTTTTCCTGGGGTTTTATTTTCCCCAGTTACCACTGATAACAGAAGACGAGGATCCTCTCCTTTTTCAAATTCAACTGCAAGTGAAAAATTAAAGGAATCGAATGACGGGATTTATCTTTAATTTCTCTAATTTCTTTAATTTCCAAAAAAAAATCTTACTCTTGGTGTCATAAAATTTGTAGGTTCCATCCTTCGAGAACGTTACCATCTGACTCGAGTCGGCCCTGAAATCGAAATCGTAGACCCCTGAAGAGTGTCCGGCAAGGTCAAAGGCCTTTCCCACTTGCTTGAAGTCACCAGCTTTCGTGAATCCAACTTCCCAGACTTTAACGTCAGGTGTGAATCCTGAAAAAAAAATCGATCCTCGAAAAATCTGTTGACAAATCGATCTCATCTTTCTAATTTACCAGAAGCAGCAACGAAACGTCCACAGGGTGAAATTTTAGCAGCATAAGTCGATCCCAAATAGGTGTCCACAGTGGCGATGATTTCCCCTTTCAAGTCCCAAATAATCAAATCGTTCTTTTTACTGCACGTCATGATAAATCGGCCGTTGCAAGCGATATCCATCCCCACGATGTCTTCGTCGTGTTTCTGGGGAGTATAATGACGAACAGATGACAATTTATATAATAAAAGTCATTTGAAATCAATAACTTTGACTGGAAAAACAAGAACTTTCAAATCGGCAGTCTATTACATGAAATGGTAAACGTTTTTTGAGAGAATCACCGAACCTAAGGGAGATACTGAATTTTTTGTTATGACCTTTTTTGCAGAGCGAATTGAGAGCTGCAAAAAAAGTGATTACGTGAATTTTGATATTTCCTTGGTTTTACGAGATATTTACGAAAAACCGAAGCGGCGAGTGCTTCTGTGATTTTTGCTCGGTAAAATCGTCGATTTAAAAATTTTTTTCATGTCGACATGAATAGCTCTCATTAAATTTACCTTCGTAAAGTCGACCACCGATCTCGCAGACACGAAAAACCCATTAGTCTTCTTCTTGAGCCCATAGACCTCGATATTATTTCCCAACGATTTATGAATTATGAAGGCCTTTCCATCCGGTGAAACTCGAACATTAGTAGCCAAATCATAATCGATGTTAACACGAAGTGACTTTTTCTCCTTCGCCGTGAGATCTTTGGTGCACCAGATGTGGACAGTTCGATCTGCATAATAATCCAAGAATAATTGACACAAGTTCTCGACACAATTAAAAAAAATCCACACAAATATTTCTAATCCTAATAAAAAAAAAAGAACACAGAGGTTTTCTATTACAAATGTCTTTATTCCAGTCATGAACAAAAAAAATTAATCACCATGATCCATAATTTCTAAAAATGAACAATTTATCGAGAACAAGAGCTAATTAGTTATGATCGAAGAAAAAAATTAAGTAAACTGTTAAAATTCTATTGTGAGCGCATGTACAATTTTGATTGGGAGGAATGGAGTGCAGCCTGTCACCTCTCATGCTTCATCCTCTTGGGTGGAGGCATGAGATCGGCGTCGTCTACGAAGCGATTGTGTTCTATGAATTCTAGTAGAATTTCCTTGGTGACAGGATCCTTAATGCTTGCACAAACGGCCCGAGCAGTTTTGTACGAATTGGGAAAAGATTTATCCGTTCTCTCCCTCATAAACACCCACCGTCCCTTCTCCGATTTGCACTCAATAATTTTGTTATTGAGTTCCTTGCATCCTTTAAGGCTTGTTATTTCCCCAAAAGGAATATCGAGACCCCCCACAAACAGATGACCGATTTTCCTCGGAAGAATTCCAGGCCCGGACTCAGTGACAATTTTCAGTTTAAAATCCACGGAATTCATGGACAAGGGCTTCCACTTCAGGACGTCGTTGGCAGGTCCAGGCGTGTAAGGCTCTTTAGCTGGCTGGAAGATGAGGCCGTCAGGCTCGTGGCTCAACATGTTGGCGAATTTTTCACTGAGCAAACTCTTGGCTTGAGTCAATTCCCAAAATTGTTTAATTCTCACTGATATTGGCTCTCGTTCTCGTCTCAATCGTCCATCTTTCATGGCTCTGTGTCGCCCTTCCATTATTTCCTTTTCAATTATAGTGTACCGATCAGGATAGAAGGAATTCTTCGATACGTCTTTACCATCGTACATTATCACATCGTAAGCTAGATATCGAGGATACTCTATTCCCTTGTCCTTATCGATTACCATTTCCTGGAAAAAAAATTGTATTATTGCCCATTGGATATCATAAAATATAAATTCTTCCCCAACAATTCCAATAATTCTCACCCCATCGAGTAAAGTATCCCTGAGCTGCCTGGTAACATCCCTGGGATGTGGAAAAGTCAGGCCCTTAATCTCAAAAACGCTGTTATTCCTATCAATGAAGTAGAGCTCTCCATCGCCCTGAATCAGCAGCATGTACCTGTGTACCACCAAAATGATGAATAAATCCCTCGTTCAGTTCCATCCTGCCGAAACCAAAGAATAATTACCTGGTGCCATCGGCCTTCCACGAGACCCTGTACGGTTTCTCATGGAGCAATCTGAGATTGGTTTTGTCCATAGACACGGGTTGTGATCCTGGAAAGCCACCAGTCTCCCATCCACACATCTGCTGCACCCTAGCCTGAATTCCAGCAATTTTTCGTGGCTCTTTGACGACCTCCACGTTGGGAACACCAGCCATGAACACTGGATTTTTAGCATTGAACTCTCGCCTCCGTTTGTTACCGTTGGTTTGTCCACTGCTCCCTGACTCTGGCACCTCATCAGTGTCCTCAACACCTGCATCATCGTACTCCAGACACCAGGTAGGTCGTGCAGGGGGTGGTGGAGCGTCAGCAATGTCAGAATAATGTCTGAACAGCTCCTGGATGTAATCCCCCTTGTAGATACCTGGAGGTCTGGCTATGGAGAAGCTGTAGAGCCCCCCCTCGACATCACTGAATTCAGTCTCCACCAGGTAACTGATGATGAGGAAGCCAGTCCTGTTGAAACCGTGGGTGCAGTGCACACCGATGATTTCCAGGGGATTCTTAGCGATGAATGTCTTGCATATTTTTATGAAGGTATTCGTCTGATCCTCGGATGGTGTCTCACCGTGTCCTCTGCAGGCTAGTTTCAGGTAACGACATCCGTATGCCTCCACCTCTTTCTTATCGTAGAAACGAGAGGTGTTGGTCAGGTCTATCCACAGCCCCATCTTCGTCCTCTGGTTCTTCAGGGAATCAAAGATGAAACTCACTGCAAAACGATTCTCCTCTGGTACCTGGGAGTCATAATCCGAGGAGAGGGGTGTCTTGAAGGCCAAAAATTTGTCCGCAATAAATCGATTGGATTTTCGAGGACAGTGCAGCCAGCGTGGGGGCACTGGACCCTTGTCAGAAGAATTTCTACTCATTTCTCAAGACTCCAGGGAACTCCTTTTCTTCAGGATCTGCCTTCTCCGGATTTTTTAATTTGTGATGCCTCTGGGGGATTTTAGCACGATTATTCACTCATTTAGTCGATCGTTTGCTGGTGAAATCTACTAGACCAGTGGTTTTTGTCATTATATTTTTTGTCAAACTTTTTAATCTCTTCAGTATCACTCTGCTGAGGAAGAGAAATTAGGTCTAACCTGTGATGTACCCTTCTCTCGTTTTTACAGCTTTAAGTCAACCTCTCACTTAGTCTAGTCAGTCTCACGCCACAAGTCTTGGGGTTGTTCTTTTATTTTTAATTAAATGGAGACAGCCACTAGTCTTTTATCCTCATTTCTGGAGGAGTTGAGAGGGACTTTTGGTAGTTGTCAATGCAGTACAGCTGCTGGGGTCCACCATACTGTTTTCACATTTTTTTTTTCTGGCTAGACTCCAGGAAGTATTCCATATTTTAATACAATTCGTCAAGTACAGGGGACTCTGAAAGCAGCCCGGGCTTTTTTAAAGGACCACTAAATCGATCGGGAGGTTGATGAAATTTCCGTTTTCAAATGCATTTACGAATTTTTTATCAGAACGATAATTACTGTTTCGATTATTTCTTTCGACAATTTTTTTCATCTGCTTCCCCCTTTATTGTCCGTTTCAATGGACTCCACATGTCACGACATCTGGTAATTGTACATGAAGAAGCGATTTTACTGAGCACCTGATGGGTATAAATGTAATTGAAATCAAGGTATGAATGAAGGGATTACCAAAGAATAATCGAGAACAGAATGAAAACAATAAGGAAAATGGACTTCTGTTTAATTCCAAATAATTTCAATTGTTGCTTCATTTTTTCACAGAAAAATTTGTCGTAACTTCGGGGCTAAATATAAAATCCTGCGCTTCTAAAATTACGCAATGATGTATACTAGTGCATTTGAAATAGGTGAGGTTTGACATTTATGTAATCAACTTTAAATTTACGATTTTGTAACAGCAACTTTATGTTGCGGCACTCGATTCGTCTGATAAATTAATTAATTGGAATGAATTAATTGTTCAAATCAATCCAACAATTGGTTATTCAATGAAAAATAGTGAGAGGCCGTGAATCAATTTTTTTTCTCATGTCAGACCTGTTTTAGTTAATTCTCATTATCACAACAAATAGAACATTTCAATGCGCAGTTAATAAAATATTAACGATTAATTATCAGGTACACAAACAAAACGTCTTATTCACAATGCAAATATTGACGATGAGTTGGCAATTGAAGAGCGAAAATTTACAAGAGACAACAATGTCATCAAGATGATGAAAGAGTAAAATAAATTTATGTCAAACACACGATTGGACTGCCTCAATCATATTTCCATTATCTCCCAATATCACGTTCAACGACCGCGCGAATTTCCTCAAGGTTTCGCCAATTTATTAAAAATATTAATAATGTTTTATCTCGGGTTCTGTTTTTTTTCCCTCAGGGAGGGACGGAATCTGAATGATGTAATTTCATTACCGTTAGAGATGAAGAGGATTGGAAAGAATTCATTACACGTAAAACGTGCCCTTCAATTATTCCATAACGACGGAGAAACTTCACCGGTGAATAACGGATTTTTAAATATTATCTTTTTAAACTTGAAGATCTGCAAAAATTCGCGATTTAAAATAATTCGAATATTCGGAATTTCAAATTTTTCTTGGGGTGAGAGTTATTTATTATTCAAGGGGTGTCTAATAAATAAAATCTATTGATCTCGTGGCAATTTTGTACCTCTGGTTATTTGAATAAATTGAATTATTCGCATGACGTAATCTCTCTCTATAATCAATGAATTTGTGATGCTATCCACATAATTGTCGGTAGTTTAGTGTAAATAACTATTCAAGGCGAAATTTCGGAATGGTAGGGGGTCAATTGCCTTTGGAGTTTGACGAACGACCTTGTAAAGAGGTCTTTACCGTTGGCCTCGTGTCATCTCAACAAAACTACGAACTCAAATAATTCCGACTGCTTTGTCACCTCCAGTGGAATATTCCACGATTTTTTCAAATGTCTTCAGCTAATGATATTTACTCATAAAACTCTTACATGACTTTTTTACTGACAGAGAAAGTTCACTTTTATGATGGGCATAAGTCATTAACCCAGATTTATTACTGTCAGACGAATTGGATGTATGGATATATAATGGATATAATTCAATTAATTTCTTCATTTTTCCACGAAATTTTTCAACAGTCGGAATTCGCCATCCCCACGTTTTCCTGTCTTTCACACTCTAGGGTGATTTTTATTTATTTTATTTACAAACTTTACAACTAATTTAATTAACAAGCATAAAAAATTTCGAATGGACGGGAAAAATAATTTCAACTCTGAATGTAATTCCCCAGTAGAAAGACAGAAGTTTGAAATTTTGCACTTTGACTCCCTGAAAAGATAAACGTCTGATGAGAGAGGAATGACTGAGCCGAATGATGAATGGCCTTGATATTTTTGATGATTGGCTTTCACCTGGCAAATTGAGGGGACCATCTCAGGTATTTATTGGGATGACATCTCCGGTTTTTAATGCAAAATCACAATTCTTGGATCATGAATGTTGGAGACACCCAAGTGCGTCGATGGGAGCATTTATGTACCAAGGACGTCTATATTAAAACCTAGAGGGTCTTCCATCCGGTGTGGTGGCTTTCTTATTTTTCATTCTTCTTTCATTTTATTTGTTAATGCGGCTTTTGCGGGTAATTGTGATAAGAGATGCCTTTCGCCCCAGATAAGCCTTAAAAATCATTGAAATTACAGAGTGAACACTACTTTCACCAGTCATTACTCTGACATTCTAGTTATCAACAAAAAATTTCATTAAATACCTTGAAGACGACAACATTGATAAGAACTCATTCCAATATTCAATCAAAACATCAATAAGACGCAATAGGAATGGAGGAAATAAATTCCACTTTTGGAGTTGTTAATTTAATTCTTGGTTTTATATCATTTATCCGGTTCTCTCCTGAAATTATTCATTTAATCGATAATTTACTCAAACGGAAGATATTTGTACGAATAATGGTCTTCTAATCGTTCATTAATTCGTGACTAATCGATTACTAATGACTTTGTCAATGTATCGGAAATTTTTTCGTAGATGTGACAATGAATTATTTACAATTAGAGACGAGTAAATAGTCACTACTATCGAAATTAATTTTTTGTTATTTTTAAACAGGTATTTTTAGGAAATTGCTACACCTCTGATTAAAAAATCTCAAGTACTATTTTAATCGTCAATAAAATCGTGACTGAAATTATGTGATCAATGATTTCTAACGTTCACCTCGGGGTTCGTGCCTCACAAACATAAAACACTGAGTTAAATTCGTTTTGTAATCGACGAGGAGTCAATTCATTCGGTCAGACTTGTGCCAAATCCAAATAATCAGGAAGACAGTATTTATTTGCATATTAAATGAGGGAAATTGCAGCGACTTGCAAATCAAACTCTTTTGCAAATATTCACCGCAAGACTTTTTCAAAACTCTAGTCACCGCAGTTTAATCGAGCCCTACGTGCCCAATCAGAAAGCGATAAAACACGATTTCAATAACAAAAACATTATTCAGTGAATATTAACAAAACAATCTCCCAACTTTTCCTTTGTAGCAGGAAGAACTGATAATTTAATGAAATAATGTGGTATTATCTCGGTTTTACGTCAGAAAACAATAGCAAAGTGAGAAAGAAACAGAGGGGCGTATGTGCGGGAAAATCCACAATTTATCCTTGGTATAAATTAAAACCCCGAGAGGCAGAAACAAAGATGCGCATGTACTGGAGATAGGCTTGTTTGCTATTTGCAATAAGGATTTACCATTAGATAAGAGAGAACAATCCATTAAACAGGACAAAAAAATATTTCTCCGATATTCCTGAAGAGTTGCGAAAAATACGGTCAAGTGGAACCTCTGATATTAAATTTCTCCAGCTTTTCCAGTTTTCTTGGGAATATCTTATCACATTTTCCAGAGGAATTTCCCTCTGGTACATGTATAATTATTTAAATAATAATTGTGCTTGATGTAATTTTAAGTGGAGAAAGAATGAGAATAATTTCGCTCTTTACAAGACGTGTGGGTGTACAGAGACATCCTGGTGATTTCCAAGGTACCTCGTGACCGTTTCCAAGGAGAAAGTTTATCGTATTAAACTCGTCGTTTTCATGTTTGTTCTCTTGGATCGTCCCGAGTATCAATAGTCCCAGCCACTGGCTGTGAATCCAAGAAAGAAAGTTGTTTCGAGTTAGCATTTGCCTCTGCGATTTTCTCCAGCTCATGCCACCAACTTCTTTTTGGCTCTTGGCTTATATGTGGGAATATAATCTATAACGATGCTTGAGGTGCCCTAGTTTGAGACCTAGTTCCGGAGATATATCCCCAGGCATTCGGCTCAGTTTCACTTCTTGCATTTTCATTTTTCAGTCATTATCATTTTTCTCCACCCTGATATCGAAAATCAAATTTTAAAAAAACGCAGCTCTTCCCATTTTATTTCGAATCAATAATAAAAATATTGATAGCCTCATAAATTATTGATAATTAAAAATAATTTGTTGAATTGATTCACTCTGATATTTTTAATGAGAAAAAATATTTTCAGATGATTGTTTTATGAAATAAAATGAATTGCAATAAATTTCATTGAAACCCCAAGTCTGAAAATATTCGATCTGTCATGAATGACTCATCAGTCCCGTGGGAGGTAATTTTTCCTCGACTTCCATGTGTAATGAATGTCCTTTGAATACAGAATTCCCCAGTGTCTTTTTTACCAGTTGATTTTTTGAAGGTTCTATTGGAGTTCATTGAACCCGAGACCATGGCGACTAAATTTACACTCTCATCGCACAAGCCAAACACTGAGCCGTCCCTGACCCGCGTTACAGTATCAATTAACACAGCCATCTCCTGTATTTTTAATAACTCCATTTACGGCTTTCTGAGGAGTTCGTTAGACAAGTGTTAAATTGAGAATAGGATAGAAGTAAATTAATGAGAGAAATTGCGCGAAGGTACGACTTCAATCTGTAATCCATCAGAGAACTCGTCTCCGAGTTAAGGATTTCATACATAAAATTGTAGTAAATTAAATTGCGTAAATGAGACGAGTTTCGTTGATTCGGTATTTTTTTCTCCTCGACCACGCAGTTATCACCAAATTCGGTGAATTATCATTTATAATGGAATTCACGTTGCGACAGAGAACTGCGGAGACTCGTCCGATCAGTTAAGACACATCCAACAGCTGAAAGTAGATAAAAGCAAAGAAAAAAAAGAGGGAGTGAGAATTTCGAGGGAATATGAGTGCCAATAAATCCAATAAATTCTTGTATATTAAGTATAAAATGTATTAATAAACGTGGAATTGACTTGCATGATCCACAAGTACCACGTGCAAAAAAAAGACCAAATCTTATATCAAATGTTTTTGATAAACTTAAAATATTCACAAGTCTTGCGCACGTTCTTACAAACATCACTTACATCTAAGATTTTATTCTAAATTTATTTATCTATATCGCACGGGGTATTGACATATACATACCGCAGGTAAAACGCAAAATCTGAATTCTCCGAGATATTAATCTTCAATGATATTTTTTTCCGAGGACAAGTGATACTCTCAGTTAATTCTCGCGGTTGAAACGAAAGAAATAACGATAGGTGGGAGTTGAGAGAAAGTTCCTGTGGGTAGGAAGGCGACAATCAGTCACTCATTACGTATTAAAAAACCTCACCCCTCCCGCTAATTGCAAGGATAAATCGTTAACTCGAAGTTCGCTAATTCATTCACAACTCAACAGCCTCCAAAGTACATGATACCTTATCTTATCTTAGAATAGTAAATAATAAACCTCCATCACCCGCAAATCACCGAGGGAAATATCGATTTGAGAAATCAGCAGTACAATTATCCAAATAATTTTCTCGATACCCGGTGAAAAAACATGAATTACCGCACGAGGTACAAAAAATATTGAATTTATTTTGAAATTTCTACGCATCACTTAGCGTTTGTGAAATGTTCAGCTGTACTATAACTTTTAGTGCAAAGTTCATTCGACTAGTCATTTGAAATCATTGGAAAGATCAAAGATCATAATTATAAATTCTTAACGTTAACGGTACAAAGTAATGACATAATAACGAAAAAATCTTCACGCAAAAGTAAATTTAATGATCAATCGTAATTAAACTCGATTAAAACTCACACACATTTAGATTAATTTACCCACAGAAACATTTCAATCTGGAGAAATGACTTCTCTCTTTCGTCTGGTTATTTTTAATATTTCAATATCATTTGCCGAGGAATTATTTTTGAAGCACGCAGACAGCAAATAACGATGTTAATACTCATTTGGATTTATTGATTCAACGGATATCCACCTGAGCTTTATCAGACGACAATAATTGACGCTTCCACGAGTATTTGTGGCATGAGTTTTATCGTTCCCAGTTATTTTGCCGGGAATACTCATAACCATCTGATTTATCTCGGTATCCGAATTTGACCGATGGAACAGCGAAACCTCAAAGCAAATATAACGATTTTCCAAAAATATGAGATTCATATTGAAGATGCAGTTGTGGAAAAATAAATCAATTGTAAAATCGAGACTCGAGGGAATAACCCTTGATTATTCACATTCAACCGGGGAAAAAGCGTAACGGTTATGTGGTTCATTGCCCATGAGCACGGGCCTCATTCTTCCAATGAATAATTCTGCCTTGACAATTAGAGGGTGAAAGCATCCTCAATGAAAAAATATATGCGTATGAAATAAAAGCGTTTCATCAATGAGATTTGTATACATCGATACCGCGTGTCTTCGTTGGATATATTTGAATAAATACGATGCCATATTTACAGTTTACTGAACGAAAATGATGATATGATAAAATCTGTGGGATCCCGGGGCATTTTTCTTATTGAAAATTTTCTGGAAATAATTTTCCCCGAAGTGTTTCAAAGAATTTCGATGGAAATTGAAATGAAAATATTATGCAAAGTAAATATTTCCATCATATGTACCAATTTGTTTATGTTTTGAGATTTTTTAGGGGGGAAATGACACTGGAAAATTTTCAAGGGGGAAAAATACCCCGAGAACCAAAACCCATCTGTCATTTTGCACAATCCACTTTCTCGTTTTCATTTCCTTAAAACTGAACACACCACATAAGTACATGAAAAAAAAATACGTGTTAAATTCACATAACAATCGATATGTATCACGTGTTAGCACGAGTGAATTCTCGATCAGAAAAAGAACGCACGAGTCGACAGATATGCATAAAACAGGGGATGATAAAAAAAAAATGATCATCAGAGAATACTCCAACAACGGGCAGTTTTTCATTTCGATTAAATGAAGGGTAGATGATGGCGATGCATACATATATATATCACAGATTTCACATGGAACTCAACACTGTCCACAACGTGTCTCGAAACTCACGTTCTACCAAGATCGAGTTCAACTCTCCTAAGCATAAGATCAACCGCACTTTTGGCATCCTCAACGGAGTCATGTTTAGAAACTTGAATCTCACGTTTAAGAAGTCTCTTGGCAAGTGTTTTAAGGCTACTTCTGTAAGGATAACCAAGATAATGTGGAAATGCAACGCAGGTATCGATGACTGTTGTGTGAAGTATCTTGAGGGCTCGTAGATCATTCTCCAGGCCGTGTCCAATGAGTATTGTCTCAGCGTGAATAAAATTTGTGAGATCTTTCTGTACATCGGCGAGTGTTTTAGTAGCACTTGACAGTGCTTTGGCAGTTATACCGCTGAATCTCGTGTTGTAATCAAGCACATCGTCATCGGGTTTGACCAATGTATCATAGACAATATCACCATTGATTCCCACGACAGTGACCTTTGCCAATTCCAGACCGCGTCTTGTGAAACACATTTCACAGTCCAGTGCATAAACACCGTAATTACCGTCACGTGGTATAACACGAGAAGGTCGTGTACGAGCGTAACCGGTAAAGGGTCCATTGAAACCATGACCAAGACCAGTCCACACGTGTACTTTAGCTGTTGTACATCCACGTGCGGATTCACGTCCATTGCAGCACTCCCATTCGTACCCTATGCTGGCATTTCTCAATTTTCCCCAGTGATAGGTGCATCGCTCATCGGTTATGTAGTGGCCAGTTGTGCGATTTATGTAAAAGCACTTGGTGCATCTGACACAGGGTCTTTCAACAGCATTGGGTGATGGTGATTCTGGTGGTCCCCAGGTGTCAGGTGTCGATGTCGAGTCTCTTCTGGTATTTTCAGAGTAATCCGAAGACGATGAGGATGAGGACGATGACTCAACGATGTCCGAGCTTTTATCACTGTCTGAGAGGCTCTCGGGCTCGAGATCGGAATTATCCACCGACGAGCCACTCCCATTGCCACTGTCTATTTCTGATTCACCGCTGTTTGAGTTAGTGCTGGGTACGAACTCCTGGGCATTAACGTCCAGGTGATGATGCTGCTGCTGCTGCTGATCGTTGCGGTTGTGATGGCCCATCGGATGATGATTCAATATGACAGCGTATCCTGGGTAATAACTGCACTCCACGGGATAGCCAAGATGCACCAGCTCCATTCCACTGAGGGCGTATCTTCGGAGTAGTGTTGCCAGGTCAGCGTCACTCAAGTGATTGAGCTGAATTCGCTGATGGCTACGTTTAGCCGTTGAATTACGTGATTTCTTACCACCAACGCCCGTTATTTTCGAGGTCTGGTTCACGCTCTTTGATTCACTCTTTCCCGAACTTTCACTTGTATTTCGATTTTTCCCTGCGCTCTCCTGTTTTCGAATATTTTTAGCACTGTTTGATGTACCTGAGTCTGACGATCTCGTTGGTGATTCAGTTAAGTACCTGCGATCGTGCTGCTGCAATCTGTGATGATGACGATGACGTGGTGGTGGTGGTGGATTTGTATCGTCCTCAGGGTCATCCTCACGATCACGACGCTGCTCTCTCGTTGCTCGTGTACGATTTTTACGCTGTCGACGACTGAGAATGGCACGGTCGCGCTCTTTTGGGGCAGCTTCCTCCATACTCGATGATGATGTTGTACTCGAGGATGTTGACATTACTGGGGACTCGGGGGATGCTGATGAGGCTGCTCCCTCCTCCAGGTCTTCTGGCACCAGACCGCAATCTTTATGTGCACACACAAAACAGACGGGTAAGACATTCGCTTTTTTTTTTGTTTATATTTTGGATTTTTTTTTTTGGCTTTTTGGCAAGAGAAGAGAGATGAAGGCCTAGGGCATGATGGCACACGACACACATGCAGATTACTCTTCAAACAAGATTTTTGTAAAATGGCTTTGCACTCTGGTAACACTCCATTGTCGGTTAATTCAGGGGTAAGATCGACGCGGGATTCACTAGATTAACCTGGGGAAATCCGAACTGCGATAGGATTGAAGGAGGAGTGAAACTCGATGTGGAAGCGTGACAAATAAAACAGCGATGTGGGGAGGGTAAAGATAGTTTGACGTCCGGCTTCGAGGAAGTCCGGGAAATGTGATGACACAGGCCTGTTTCAGTGTTGAGGAAAGAGACGCTGATTCAGCGATAGTTATTAATGTTGACTTGTCACAACACCGAGGGAGGGATTTTCTTCATCGTGACGAAAGATGGATCGAGAGGGGACTTGTCCCTGGGGAATATGCTGCATCGAAATTCGTGGGAAGAATCAAGACATGTGCAGATTCGATGGAAATGGAGCGATTTGTTCAGTTACGGGGAATTTATTATTCCAGGGACTTCAAGGTAATTGCCTTTTTTTTTTTATTAAAATGGATGAAGACGCTTACTCGATTCTCTGAAGTTATGGAGGCATTTCGAGTTTATTGGCATTCAGGCTATTGCTCTGGATGAGATTATACGTTGTCTTTCTGGGAATTCTCCAATCTAGCTGGAGAAATATAGACTCTCGTGATTCTGGTCATGGGATAATCTGGGAGTGTGTGGAGTGTGGGGAGTGTGAGGAGTGTGTGGGGCTGGAAGTGAGATAGAAACGCTGGATTGGAGAAAGAAAAATTCATAGGGGGACAGGGGGTACGACGATAACGGGATGAGACTCTATCCCGGTTCGCACGGATGTCCAATACCGTTGGATCATTATGAAATCATCGTCGAGCTGTACTACCTTCCTTTTTACCTTTTTTTTTTTTTTCATTCTTCTCCTCTCTTTTCCTGGATGAGTGAGGTAAGAGACTAACTGGCCTGGGCGAAATACTTCCTCCCTGACACGTAATTCTGGATAAGTGACTGTCGCTATTGCATTATTATTATACTCGAGAAATTCTCGTGAATTATGAACGATGATGAGCATTATTTTTTGCTTGTTGGGCATCAAACTTTCTGTTTAAATCTAATCGATCTCCGAGTACCGAGTTATTTCAGGATTTAATCGATTCAAATTTTATCCTCTAGATTTTACAATATTGGGAATAATATTTATTTTCATTTGAGTGGTTAAATTGAAAACATGATTTCAGAAACGAAAAATTCAGCGATTGATAATTATCGAATTCATCCACAAGGCGATTCTAGCGATTTCGTAATTATGACGTCTACGACACGTGCGTCACAGCGCGTGCAAATAATAACAACAAATAATCATTACGGAAGATTATTAATTATTCAATAGTAGCGCGCAGTTCCACGTTCCATCGATTCCTCTTCCTCTGTCTTTTCCGCCTTGAAACTCAAATCAAGTGCGAATTAATGAATTTTATTGGTTCTTTAATTATTTCCAGTTATCACTCTCCACGTCATGTCTGAGGCATTCGAGTTAATCATTAACTTCACTCACTTCATCAGAAATCACTGTTTTTTTCTCGGAAAAATCCACAATTGTGAAACGGCGGTTTTCCTCGAGTGGTTTAACTGATTTGAAAGGATTACCCGAAGAGTTTCAGTACAAAGTCTCCGGGTATCTATTACAATAGAATTTCTCTTATCTTGGTGACAGGTGCTTCAATTATTATCAATCGAATGAATTGAGCAAATAATGGCGATTATCTTGGTACGCCATGGCCACACATTTCAGTAGTGGATTCATCAAACGAGGTGAAACGATCTCACTTCGAGGTCAGTTTTTGATATCTCGAAATTTAGAAAGATAACGAAATAATTGGGGCTCATAAAACAATTAATTTCATACGACAACTCGTTCCTCTCGAAATCCCCTCACAATTCAAATATTTCAAATAAATTCAAATAGTAATTTCAACGAGTTATGTCTATTCAATATTTTTCTCTCCAATTGATTCTATCCGAATTAAAATAAAAATTGAGTGATCAATTTTCCTCGTTGCACTGTTCACTCAATTTGCTTAATGATGTGAAATTTCCTTTGAGAAAAAATGAATGCGATGAGGTAAACGAGAGACAAAGTGGATTCAGGGGGAATTTCGAATAGATACGTCTGCCAGGGTAACGGGGTCTTACGAAAGGTAAAAGAGTTAGTATTACTGAGCAATAGAGCCACAGTAACCCACTCCTCGCTCCCGTTACTCATGCTTACGATTCACCATGTATTCGACCCGGGATTGCCCGTTTCCCCTCTCATTTCACTTCCTCCGACGTATGTCTCTTTTTTTTTTCCCCGACAATGAAGATTCGTGACCAGTTGATGGGTCAACCCTGGGGTCGAGAGCGTGAAGTATTTCAGCGATTCTCTACCTCCAGGATTTTCAGATTCTGTTTTTCCATGGTTTCCTCGAGGTATCCAACATCTCGGTGGGGATGGTGGGGTCAGTGGGTCAAGTTGGGGTCAGCTGAGGACTCGATTTTTCGAGTGGAGACAGGATGAGGTCAGATTGCGGTATCTGGAGCGTTGAGAAAAGGGCGGAAATTTATCGGAATACGAAATTTCCGGTACTCCACATTTTTTCAATTGACCTCCCATATTTTCGGGTTTTATCCTCGAATTGGTGATCAATTGATCTGCTTGTTGTCTTCATCGATTAACCCATTTATTTATTATTTTTTCTGTCTCGTGTAGCTGACATTTTTACTGGGGAAAATTTTTTCGTCGGTCAATGGATAATGAAACCGAAGTTTATAAACCGTGTAATGCACGTGGGGGTATGAAATAGCGAAATTTTTTTCGGGCGGGACAAGTGGAGCATTGAAACAGTCTCAAGACCACTGGGTGTTGAGTCACTCCAGGATTTTCATCACACCAACGCTGGGGAATGCTTTTCGAGGATTCTCTCAGAACCCACTAAAGATATCAAAATCTTCATAAAAACCTTTTCTCCAGATCTCATTTTTCTCCACAAAAAAGATATAGCAAAAAATTTCGCTATCTCCCCTACCCATCGAGATAATCATGTATTAATTCCATCGAAAAATGTATGAATTTTTTTTCATCGCGAAAACTTTCGGAAAATCTTTAATTGAATATCAGAGATTCTATTGAAGACTGGATTAACGATTCACCGGAGGTTCACGATTTTTTGGCAATATTATTCTTCATTTCAATTACCTATTTATTTTTTTGTAGGTTTTAATTACTATCGGCTGGTGAAAGTAATTAATTAATGGAGCATTTGTGTTGGTTATTGTCTATTATTTGTGAATTGTAAAAAATATGTCTAGCAAAGGGGCCCCTCCCCTCAGCCTCATCAAATGAACGATCGATTTCTCTCTTGAGTACGACCTACATCGAAATTAGTGCCTATCAACCGTGAGCAATGAGATTATTAGTCCTCTTCTCGCTTCAACGGAGGGGAAACCCCCAGTCTTCTCACTAGACGTACTGACAATTTGGACCGCAATGTTCCTCATAATTTAATCGCAAGAATACAATTCGCCCGCACGGAAAACGAATCACATAACTGATAAACATTTTACGTAATGAATAATCACCAACAACTCCCCAAATCCATTTTAATATCCAAAACTCAAAAATTGATTGAAATTATTGTCAATCCTTTTCACCTCCACGAATTTGTTTCTGGGTTAAGGTGAGGCAGAGATGAGCAAGGACAGGGTAATGTTGTGTTTAAAAAAAAAACAGAAAAACCAGCAAGAAGGCCTAATAAAAATGATAATGCAGTGGAAAAAAAAATCCAAAGAAAAAGGTGAGACACGAGGTGAATGACGTACCTTCGGCACAGCTTGCGAGGAACTTGCCGTCACTGGAGAAATTCATGTCGAGGACAGGGCCAGTGTGACCCTTAAGTGCACCCACCATCCACGAGTGTGTGAACTCCTGTTGGGCCTCACGACGCTTTTTATTTTTTGCTCTTTTACCACCACCAGGTGGAATCAATTGGCTGTTGGCAGATGTCGATGTCACTGGCTCGCTATTCTCCGACTCCACGTGACTTTTTCTGTCTCTGACATCTGTAAACAAATAGATTAACAATTATTGGGGGAATGCAATCGATTGGAAAATTGTGGCTTGAGAGATTCAAGGCTCGTGTGCAGTGGCCTCCGGGAAAAAATAGAGCCTTCGGTTTAGAAACTAGGAAGTGATTTTCAATATTTTTCAGACGTTTATTTCATTATTTTTTGTTTGAGCCCTTGTCGCTCTTTTTTTTATTATATCTATTGACAAATTCGATTTATCTACGATTATTTAACAAAATCCACAATTCGTAATGGATAATTCTCCACTTTTTGCAAATAAGCGCGCGCATCCCTCTGTATTTACAAAATTATAAAATCCAGTGCAATAATCGAGTTTACCGTTTTCCCGAGAAAGTTGAAATTTCAGTGAATCACTATAATTACTGTTCCTCTCGGTACCTCAACCTTTTTGTCACGCTCCACGTATTTTTTTCATAATCAACTCCACCCGAAATGAGTGCAGAAAGAAAAATTGAAAGGAACTCCAAAAACTGCGTCTCAGAAGATCCGATGACGGACTGTTCATGCCTCAGGAAACATTTCCCTCGGTACCTCTCCACTACCTGAGCCCTAGCCACGTCATTTACCCTTAAACGACCCATTGTCGGTTCCGGGAAATTTCAATGAACTTTAACTGCCACATTGTCTTCCATATTTTCAGCCAGTCGCAAGACAAAAATCCTCTGAAATGATTCACTGTGCAAACGTGATGATCTGGATTGATTTGGATTTTTGGCTATCTGCGACGCAATTTTATGTAGAATTTTTATTCTTGGGGAGTACTATTGTTTTTTTATAAACCATCTGGGCAAATGTTGGGTTTTTGTCTTCCTATTTAACATGACGCAATTTTTTAATTCTGGATTCTACATAAAAAAAAACATATTTTCCTATATTTTGAAATACTGAGATGTAAGTAGAATTTTCTGACGGAATCCCTCGCGAGGTTTGTATGAATAACAAATAGAAACCGTCATAAACAATTGTGTAAATAAAGAACGGATAATATATGGAAATATTGTCAGTTCATTGGCTCGAGAATCTCAACAAGTTGAGGTCATTATCCAGAACCTCAGGAATTTTTTTCTGGATTTATTCTCGCTGATCAAGTGTCACGTGTCACCGGAGAATTTTCAAAGAGAAATATTGACAATTTGAAATAGAGAAACGAGAGAATGAAATTAATGCGAGGGGGTGAATTTATCTGCAGCCCAGATCACGACGAAAATAAATAATCGTTGAAATTATTCAGGACTTCGCTAATGACCTACATGCCAGGGAAAAATCGAAGTCAACTTCTTGAATGGGAGTCACTCGAGAATTTTTTTAAATAATTTGTTGTAAAAACAGGGGAGTGCGTCACACCGTCTCCAAAAAAATGTGAAAAAATTTCACAGCGACACAAATGTTATTCTGTTATTGAATTATGTTTGTAAACAGGCGGCGAAAACATTGTAACATCGCTGATGCGCATTATTCTGAATCTCCATTGCCTCCAGCGATTCATCTTTTATGAGAAGTGATAAGTTGGGAATAAAAATACGGAATGGCATTACACCTGGAGAAATATCCATTGTGTATATCAGTTTTCTGACATTTTCGTGCAATAATATTTTTCATTCATTGTGTTTGACGAGACCAGACATTTGCATTCCCAAAATTTATATTCATCGGTTGTTTGCGTACTCATAGCCTTCAATTGCTCAAAGTCGAGGTCTAGTATTTCCAAATTATCTGGAAAAATAAATTCCTGACTCATGAAAATTCAGAGATCGATATAAAATTATTTCAATTCATCAGAGTTTTGGGAAATAATTGCATGATTATGGCAGCTTGAGATCCATTTAATAATTAATTAATAATTAATTAATAATTAATTTATCTCAGGATTTGCGCGGAGGCAATTTCTTCTGGAATTTCTAGTGATTCACGTTTTTAAACCTTGAGTGATATCACTATATTTGAATATGATAACGAAAAATATCTCCGATAGGCGCTCAGCACAAAAATTCCCAGCCTATTCCGGGGTAATAAATTGTGCAAATAAAGAGGCATGTGCTCTACTATTGTCTGAATTTAGAATTATGAGCAAAATTCGAAGTTTCTGTCAGCCCATGATAATTAAAAGAGCGAAAAAGCGTTAATTAGAGCGGAAAATTTCCCAATCCCAATAGATCTTTGCAATCGTCCCCAATCAATCTCTCACGGCAGAAATAAAATCGCGATAATTTCTTGAATAATAATCATAACCAGTAGCTAATTCAGACATAACTGCGATGCCTATCATTATCGCTAGAATCATTTAATTCTGCAATGAAAACCTTGACCTATTTAACGATAAGAGTGAAAAGAAATAATCGCAAACGCATGGCTTTTTCAAATGAAAAAAACCTGAGTACGAGACTCTCAATTACAACCAACAACAATTGATTGTGAATATTTTTCATTTATGGAATAATGAAAGAAAAAATGAAAGACACGTGGCGGCGCCTCGACTCTAGATGCAATTCACTCGAGAGACAATTGTCTGTGGTGAATTCACGTGCAATTCAGTTACACGTGTGCAACAACTATTTTTCCTACCCCTTCCATTACAGTACAGAGAGGACGAGAACGCCGGCAGATATACAACAAAACCGTACGAGTTTATTTTTACGCTCGCATTCAGTGCAAGAAAAAGAACTAAAACCGGGGAATGGGAGGGATAATTCACCGGTGCATTGCCTTCGTCGCCATTTTGGACGATATAAATATTAATATTGTTGAATAATTAATTCTCATTTAAAAATATATATTTTTGCAATTGACGATGAATTGAAGATTTAGTAGTAGAAATTTGAAATGTTTCTACAGATTAAAATGTTAATTCAGTAATTCCTCGGGAATTATAAGAAAAGAAAAATTATTTATAAATTTATGCGCCTCAGGAATCGCTAAATGATATTACAAGATGAAAAACTTAAATTATGAGAAAATTCCCCGGACGAAGAATATTTGAAACTTGGAAGACGCGCATTTCACATTTGTCTTTTTCTGTCTGCAGTAGAGAGTACACGTGTTCTCTCTTTGTCTTTCACTGGTGAAATTCAACTCCACAAAGCCCTGAGTAATTTCATCCTTGTCTTCCTGTTCTCAAAGGGACCAAATGAGCCCCATGCTGCGTCCCTCGGGCCACATCTGCCGCCAAAAGGTGCCTCTCAAAAACGCCAGAAGACGCTACATAAAAAACCAAAAGACTAAAACCAAATAAAATTTCTCACATCGTTCGATCCCCTCAAGAAAAATCGTTGATTCATCAATTGAAATCGACTGCTCCATCATCCCCAGTTGCATCATCTCGCAAATCAATGACTAGACAAAAGAATCATACAATTCCCCAAAGCCTCTTCCATGTTATTGCTCTCTTAATTAACCATGTACTCATCACTTAAATCGGAGACGGAATTGTCCCCGAATTTTAATTACTCCATGACTCATACCAAGAACAATACCCCAAAACTCATCCAAATCGTTCAATAAAAATCGCATCTTGAGGGTGACAATTCTGCGATCAACGTACATTCGAGGTGATTAAACAAAAATCTTACATTTATTCTTCTGAGTGCCGGTTCGTAGAAATATAAATGCCACAAGTATGACAAGCCCGCCAAGCACAAATGAGACGACCACCACGAGGTCGACACTCCTCTCCCCGAAGAATTCCATATCTCACCAAAAAAATTTGTCCACCGATCACTAATTATCTCACACCTCTTCACAACCTCACAGAACAGTCCCACCACTGCACTCTGAAAATTTAATTCAATAAATCCACAAATAAAAAATAACTCCTCGATGAGGATTTCGCGCGATTCCTCCGGGTCTCGCACGAGACGTGTGTCTGCTTATTGGACAGTTTCACTTCTCCCAAGACATCCAAAACCACGGAGCAAATATTTTCAACGAGATGATGAGATAGATTTTTCCGCTAGTCTCTCCAACGATGCGGGCGCACCGAGCGTCGCGACGCCGAACCTCCACGTCTTGATTCACCGCTGATGATGCCGATCCCTCTGATTGCACTTTTGACAGTTAACGCACTATAACACGACTCATAATCATTTTCAAATATCACCAAGTCCATTCTCCCCCAGGCAATAATCGATTCAAATTCAAATTATATATCAGCTGATCATCAAATTTTTATCTATCCCCTACCCTGGAGTTTATATTGATCTCCAGGACAATTCCTGGATGTCCCAATTAATCGGCTACTCCCCGGATTTATTCCTGATTTTTCGGGGTTGTTTTGGTTTTATTTTTGGGGAAGGGTTTTTTGAGTTCTAGATCTCGTGGAAGTCCTCACGTTTATTCGATGAACTCCAATGAGTTTATGACCGCGTGCATGTATGAACCACTGGGGAATACCGGTATATACCTTCTATATGCCGGCGATAACCCCCCACTACTGATTATTTTCCCCTTCTTCTTGGATATCCCCTCCCAGGGGACTCCTCAATTGCGCCTGCACCTGCGGTTCTTTCTTTTTGGAGGGGGATTGAGGGGGAATTGAGGGGGAATTGAGGAGGAATTGAGGGGGAATAGTTGGAGCAAGTGGTCGCGAGTATTTTCATCGATTTGCAATTATTTATAACATTTTTTTATTGTATTTTATGTTTTTTTTTCAATCACTATTGAGTGGCAGAAATTCTGGTTACTCTCAATCTGAATTATCATCATTATTTTAATATTCAATTTTTTAATTTAATGGGTTTAATTATCCGTCTATCTAATCTTGTGACTATGATATTATGAGGAAATTCTGGTGAGAAATTGAAAGATTTGATTATCATTTCAATTATTTCAATCCATATTATCATTTTTGAATTATCCGTTGGGTAATGATTTTTTTATGAGAATATTATGGGGAAGTCCTAATGGAAATCGAAAAATTTTCCTCATGTCGGAGGAATTCCGAATGTCACGAGGTTCTTCCCAGAAAAGCCTTCTGATTAGAACGAAGCAGATGATTCATCTAATCTTCCACGTGATGATAAACCCACTAGAAATTCTCCTAGAATTTCCCCACGGAAATAACACCTGCGGGTCTGATTTCAAAATGCGGATGCCTCATAACAATGCAATAGAATCAATTACAGTGAATTATAATGAGAATTGAGGGGATCAGTTACGTTTACATTGCGTGATACGACTTCGATAAAAAAAACGAGATTCCCCGGAATTTTTTATCGTTCGGAGGCAAATCGGCTCGATTACATTTGTTTATCACCTCGATTTTTCCCGTTCATTATTTTATCAGATTTTCCTTCATGAAGTCTAGATCAGAGAATTCGTGCTATCGGGATTGCCTGAATACCTGAATTCTTCCAAGGGCACTAACAATTACTAGATTAAAAAAAAAAAAATTACCGGATAAAACAACGTATCAAAAAATGTGGATGTCGCGTGATTTCGCCTCTTGACATTAAATAAATATCCCACGCGACAATGCGTGCAGTTATCCTTCAGAATCACCTTAAATTACCGAATGTCATATCAGGCCGAGTGTTTCACCTCGACTCCGTCATTATGATAATCCAACAGGTCAAGTTCACACGAAAAAAGAATTTCCCTTCTCGGCGCATGCCATTTATTACTCAACGTACCTAAAAGTATTGATTTGTCATTCGATCCACACGAGCTATAATATTTTTTATATATTTTTGTTCAATTGTCCACTCATTCAATTTCCATGAAAATAATTAATTTCCAATGCTGAATGGCTCTCCACAGATAAATGATATAAAAAAAATTATTATTTCTGCGAAATTCAAGGGTCTTTCAGGAGTGTTGAATTTTTAATCTCATCCTGAGGATATATTTGTTTAAAGATGAAGAGAATCTAACGAAAAGGACGAAGAATGAGGATGATAAAAGAGACAGTGCGTCAAATTCGGCTCCGTTACTTAGCTCCGTTACTTTTCCTCATTTGATGCCCACCAACGTTCCCAATACCAAGACCAAGACCACCAGTCATTTGAATAGTCGTTCATTCCCCTTCCCGCAAACACATATCACTTATGGTCATAATACATAATGTGTACATCACCGACCTGCCCATTTGACACAGGTATTATTCCACAAATGTGTTTCGTGGGTATCCAACGGTAAATCCGGACAAATCAGCCTCAAACATATCCCTCTAACGACTTCTGCTATTACCTGAGCTCAGAATTATTTTGTTTTAATATTTCTAATATAATTCTTCTGAGAGTCTAGTCTGTCTGCCGCAGATCCTCAAATCCAACCAATCGTAGATCTCTTATTTTTTTATTTTGAAGACCTAATTTTTCTTATCAAAATTATTAACAATTTTTTCTGGGTTTTATCTCTCGAGGTACCGGTTTCGCTGAAAATTCGAATTTTCAGTCGATAATCTCGTGCCAAAAATTTAAATAATCAGCAAAAGTTGTATATGACACGTGGAAGCGGAGGGAGGTAAAGGAGAAGGAATGAGACGTGCGGAAAAGCGATGAGAGATATTCCCTATCGGGTATTTACTAATATTGGAACGTGAATACGTGTCTTTATGTTGTTCACTACTTTTCCGCTTATCAGGGATTTTTTTTTCTTCGCTGCCCTCAATAATTCGATTGTAAAGTGATTTTAAAAGCTAATAAAAACGAAGTGGGTCACGCACTAACGGAAAAACGACAGTTACTCCAAATAAAAAATCATCTGCAAGAGGATTAATAATAATAAATACATCAATTGTCTCATCGAAAAAATCGCTCTTAATGCAGGGATAAATGGACATTAATGTTCATTTAAAATTTATATATATCGCGTATTTCTCTTTCTTTGTGGCATTCGTCCAAGCGATCGAAGGAGCGGGGAGAATTTTATTTCTAAATTTATCGCTTAAGGTCGTCGGCCCCCATGAAGGTTTTTCAAGTATCCAACTAACTTGCACTGTCCGGTATGTGCCATTACAAACTGAAGACCATTTTTGAAAATGAAAATTATTCCGCGAGTGACGGGACAAAGGAGAGCGAAAATCATTCCACGAAGTCCTAAACCAGGAAATTGAGCATCCAACATATCCAGGAATATCTCCATAACCAATAGAAATATCAAAATTTTCATACCAACCTTTTCTCTAGGTCTCAATGAGATCTAGAAAAAAGGTATCAATGAAAATTTCGGTGTCGTCTTTAATTTCTGAGATATTCACGAAATAGTCGGGGATTTGGATAATTATGAGTCTTTTTATAGCGGAGTTTCAGGTTTTTCACGCTTTATGGAGATTTTTATGGGTCGAAAGGTTGGATGTTTAGGATTAGAATAATCAACTGCGTACATCTCTGGACAATAACATAAGGATTTACTCCGGTGAATGCACGTGTTTGCATGAGGCACTTCCTGTCTGCAAACACGTGGAGCTACTAAAGCGCGCGAAACTACGTCATTAATGGTTTAACATTTCCTGGCGGGGGGGTGGGGGGCGGGGGATACCACGTGTATGTGTGTGCAATATTGTGGCTTTTCAAGCTGTGTAGATTTGTCATTTGTTGTTGGCAAAACGCCGGGACTTCAAGATGCGCAATTTCTCGAACCACTAGAGAAATTCGTAAAATTTCTTTGTCTTCACTGTTAAAAAAAAATTTTAACATCTTGGACGGAATTTTTGGCAGTTGCAGAAAATTCGGGTGAAGGCTGATAATATTTGGATTTAAAAAAATAATGTCGATGTAAAAATAAACCCTCGATCGTCATTCTCATGAATAAATCATTATTTTTTATGAATTACGGAGGGAACGAGAGAATTTAAAATTAAATCCATGGGTTTTACTATTTTGGAGCATCAGACTGCTTCGCCCTATTTTTTCTCGGAGTCTGACTAACGGTTTAAAAATTCATTAGCACCTGTTGGTGTGATCAGCGAAGAATGTTTATACAATTATTCACTAACAATTGTTACAGTGGACGTGAATTACTAGAACGTATCATTTTCCATAATTTTGTTTTCAATTCAGCTGATAACACATGCTTTATTCCATGAAGAGTGAATCAACGGAATTCCTTCACTGAATTAGTCAACACCTGAGTCACAATATTCTCCACCTGATGCCTGATCTATGTCAGTCTCTCGCTAATACCTCGAAAATGAAGGCCGATATCGATTTTTTCACCGATACATAATTCACAGAGAATAATAAGAGCTACAAAAAAGGTCCCACAAAAATTTGAGTAGCTCCCTTCAATCCCAAGATATTCCCAAAAATTCGATATTAAAAAAGCGAGGTTATTAAAATTCCTCATTTTGCACCAGAACTCCTGTTCAATTGATTAAAAAAATTGCAATAAACCCGCAATTGAAGCTGAGGTACTCCATTTATAAATAATAATGTCAACGAAGGGTTAAAAACGACCCAACGGACTTTGACAGCTCGTCTATTTCAATCCCTGGACACGTGTCTCCGACGCGTGACAGCCAGTGACAGCTCTAAACAGCTCTAAAAAATTTTCAAATAGAGAAAAAAAAAACAATAAACAACTCACCAAAACCGAATCCACTGGCCCGAAAATGTGTCCACGTTCCGTATGACGCAACAACCCGAATCAACGTGTCATCTTCCCAAACAAATGAAAAACTCGTTCAACTGTTCGATGAATGATCGATTAAAAAAATCGATCTAAATGCGTCGCAATCACTGGGACAACTGCGAGTGCAGTTTGACGTCCACCGAGTCCATCCTCTTCAGCCAGCAGTTGGTCTTTGTTGTATTGAAAGAAGAAAAAAATGTCAGATGAATAAAGAGGGAAAAAGGAACAACAATGTTGATGAACAAAAAGAGAGGGAAATGCACAAGGTAAAAAAGGCTGACAGCGTGTGTCTCGGGCACACGACGTTGAGTATCTGTTCGTGTTTAAAAGCAGTCGGTTAAAACTCAGAAATGAAGACTCAAGAGAGATGGAAGACACCGAGAGGAAGAGGTGAGTAATATATTCTCTATCTCGTTTAAACTCTCGGTGAAGTTTTATTCTGGTTTATTACGAACTTCTGCATCTGCACTCACTTTTTTTTTTCTCTCTTCTGTTGTCTGCAGGGAGTATTGACACATGACTGTGTTGTACTCTTTTTCACTGCGTCGAGTCATCGGGACAGAGAGAGAGGACGAGGTGGAGGCGGTTTCGGGGTGCGATAAGCTGGTGATAATGGACGGTGCGACAAAGCCCTATCTTTACTGTGTATCGCCATTTTTTGAGGCTTTCTCTCCCACTTGTGAGTGAATTCTTTTTTTTTATATTTTATTTTCAACGCCTGGTGGGTGACCTCCACTGCTGTGCGAAGGCGGAGAAGAGGGTCATCTTGCTGACGCAGATGCTCTATATGTTGGGAGATATGAATGATTTCGTTGAGGTCGTCTATTGCTCCAGGAGATTGCTGTACTACGCATCAATTTTCTTTTCTTGATACCCCCCACGAAATTTTATTCGTAATTATTATATTATTAAATCGGTTTGTTGTCTTGGAAAAAATTTTTCTACAAGACTCTTCATACAAAAATCTTCAGATTCCCAATAATTAAATTCAATTATCCGAAATAATTATCTCATTGGCATGAATGCAATGAGATATTATATGAGTAATAAAATTTGTTAATCAGATTTTGGTGATCTCCTGCATTTTATTGAAATGCGTACAGTGGTGGATTCAGGAAGTCGATACGCTTCGGAGGTTGTAGCCGAGGTGAAAAACTTGGAGGCGGAAGCTCAAGTACTTTTTCAGACGGAACGAGGAGGGAATAAATAAATCATGATAATTCTGAACAAAAAAAAAGCTAATACCAAATTCGATAACCGATTGTATTCAACTCTGAAGGCCGCACCCAAGGCCGATAATTTTCTTCCCTCACACTTTTTATCGTCGCATCCTTGTCTTTTTACATTGCCAAAATTATTTTACGACCTCCTCGTCCTGCATCCCAATGACTGCAATCAATTGCGACATGACCCTCGGATAGTGGAGTAATTGTTATCGTCGGATTAATTCGTGGAATTTTCTCGCCATTTTTCCAAGCTATTTCGAGCTTTTCGTATCACCAAGATGTGATTAATTGTTGAATGCAATTGGAGGTGAATTTTCATCATCCGGAATCGCGCGGAGTTATCATTATCAAAATTATTTATTATTTACTTGGTAAAACTTTCGATTTTCCAAACATTTTATTTTATCTGAATATTTGGATTGAGATTTCGAAATTTTCTTGCGTGTGTTTTTTTTTAATAGAATTATTTCCCTTTTTCAATTCAAAAATTATCAACATTGCCGCCGCGTGCTCTACCTTATTCACAAGTTCATTCTCTAAAATTGTCGACATTCTCGTGCACTATCTTACTGGCAGGTTCGACCTGAGAATTAGTTCGACAACTGCCAACAGAGCCTCTACTTTAGTCAATCCTCTTTGGTTGAACCCTCACCATCGGCACTAAAAATCTTTCCAACAATTTCTTCTAAATACGTCGATTGCAATTCACATCTCCGGAGAAAAATAAAATATTGACGGATTTATCGATTAATTCGGAGTGGGAAAACCTGTCACAATTAAATCGTTCCAGTGATTTTAAAATATTCAAAATGGCAACAATCCCGCACTAGCGTTCCACCGAGAGGCGTGACGACAGATAAAACTTATCAAATCACGTCGTGAAATTCCATTCGTGTGTGTACACCAGCCTGACGAATTGTCAAATCGTACTCGTGTCATATCCATTTTCCCAATAAATCCCCAACAACACATTTCTCCACGATATTCCATCAATGGAGACCTACGAGAGTGTTTTACTCGTTAAATCCGAGGTATTTGTCTTCAAAATACCCCCAAGGCCCTCGAACCGAGGCCACAGGTAAGTTTAACCAGTACTTCACCTGTTCCAGTATTTATTTCACCGTTATTGCACCTGCAGTTGCGGCTGTTAATGACAGGAAATGATTTTCCTAGCCCCATGTGGTTTTCTCAATTCACTTAAAAATCGAAATTTTATAAAATATTTTCGAGACGAGATAAATTATTGAATTCGTGCTAGCGTTGACGTTATCAGGACTGTAATCACCTCGAGATAATTCCTACTCATGATTTTGGTTCAGAGCTGCAGATTGGAACCTCCAGGAGCCATCGTGGACAGGAAGGATGCGCCTGGTATCGCAGGGTGACTCAATAACGTTGAAACTGGAGGACAAAATATCAGGGGAATTGTTTGCCAAGTGTCCCATCGACGTGTATCCAGGAATAGCTGTTGAACCAGTGACAGATTCATCTCGTTATTTCGTACTGAGGATTCAGGATGACAATGGAAGATCGGCATTCATTGGGGTGGGATTTCTCGACAGATCTGACAGCTTTGATCTCAATGTTGCACTTCAGGATCACTTCAAATGGCTGAAAAATCGCGATCAGATCGAGAAGGAGAAGGAGCAGCCGAAGCAGGAGCTCGATCTCAGATTCAAGGAGGGAGAGACAATAAAAATAAATATGAAAATCACGAAGAAGGATGGTAGTGAAGTCGCTTCGAAAAGCAAGCAGCGACCTCAGGGAGGACTGGGACTTCCACCACCACCTGGTGGAGTTAAAATTGCTCCACCACCACCCAAGACTCCAACCTCCTCACCTGCTCATAAACCAGCTCAGAATCAGGGTGCCTCAGAGTGGGGTGAATTTGCAAGTGCATCTCAGGGACAACAGCCAGCTACTTCTCCTGGCTCGACCAATGCCAGTTGGGTACAGTTTTAATTCTATCGAGATCTCTGCACGTTCTTATTCAATTCGATTTATCAATCCGTGTTGTGGAATATGTTTAATTCGCACACAATATGTAGGATTCGTTGATAATATCAGTTATTTCGAGGGGATCGAGCAGAACAGAACAGAAGAAAATATTCAATATTAATTTACTAGCGAATAGGTAAAGAGTGACGAGTCTCGATATCTCTGGATCCATCAGAGATTGTCACCTTTCACTTCTTCATTGCTGAATTTATCTTGACTAAAAATTAAAAAATGGAATGAGGATTTATTTTCACCAGTGGATGAAGTATGGAGGATAGTTCTCGAATTAGGTATTAAGACCTCCCCAGAGTGCACTAGAATGGATTAAAGATTTTGTTGACAGTATTAGTCCAACACGAGTATTCGTGAAAGTCTTTTTTTTTTATTATTAAACCGTGTATTAGCTTTCTCCGTCGTAAATACCGTGCAAGTATCAATTCAATGAAAAAAAGGTCATGTGATACACATGTCAGTTTGAAGGAACAATTAATACCCTGCAATTCTGTTCTGTTCTGTTTACAAACAGAGACACGTATCGAGACTATATTTTCATAGCAGATTGTGTTGACGTGCGTGTTTCTGAGAAAATCCCTGAGAGCCTCGATGAATGATCACTTGACCACCGAATTAGGGCCTCGCTGCCACTGGCATTTGTACATAAATGATTAGACAAGCCACGTCTAGCTTTAAATTATTAAAGCCTAAACGAGAACGAATTAACAAATGGATAATTACTCACAACTTAATGTCTAGCATTTGTTGCTGCCCTCTTAAGCTCGATTCACAGAGTCAATTATATTTTTCGAGTGATTAAAAAAGTATATGGAGTGGTGATTTCTTTATTTTTTCGGTGAGCATGCTTGTTATTGATCTGCATTGAATGCAAATCAACCATTTAATTTGTAAATAATGTTGTACATCCTCTTTTCGTTTGCGATTCAATGTTATCTAGATGATGTTTGGATGAGACAAGTTTTCAGAATATAATTCTGAGTATGTGTATGTAATGAAAGTAAGTAATTATTCTGACCAAGCTCCACGTATGAAAGAATTTCACAGAAAAATGTCGCCTTTTTTTCAAAAATCTGGATTTCATTTCGTTGGGAATTCTGCGAATTTTTTTCATACGTGCCAGGTAATGAATTGATCTATTAAGTTTGGAAGAAGAAAATCCATCGTTGCAAATGCTGGATTACACTTGTTTCCTCGGACTCTGCAGCCACCACAATTCCTCAAACGATTGACATAGAATCAATAAGAATAAAATTATATTGTTATACAATAGAATCACGAGATCTAATTAGAAGTAGTTGTACGAGAGATGATCGCTTGTCGATCGACGACGAATATTATAAAACATATATCATTCCCATGTATATTTTTCTGGAAATAAAATGAAACAATTCGAATCCTCATTTTTTTTTTCAAGTTCCATGGAGAGTTGTGGTGACAAATTATTTAATTTTAATTATTAAAAATTGAAAGAGTGAAATACTCGTTTTACCTTGCATCCCACCATGGGAGAAAAACCGAAAGTAAGAGGAAAAAAAATAAAAACGACAGATTACTATCACATTCTATTGTACTGTATTATCTTCTGACCGTCAATATAATAAATGGCATGAATTAGCACACACAAGTACGATAACACCTGTGCTCATACAAATAAATACTCAATAGGGAGTCATTGCTGCTCAAAACGCACGGGTCTATCACAATTCATCGGGTTCTCCGTATTCTTTATTTTTTCATTTCTCTGAAATCATGTGGGTGATTATTATACCGTCAGTTTCTAAAAATTAACAACGTTTATGGCGTGGTACGTTGAGACGTAGGCCCCGCATCGTTAATGCGCGATTCAATTGGCGTTGTACAGGCCGTTGAAGTTGATCAGCCGAGAGGGTCATGTTCTCGTCGCAGTCGATGGTGCTGAGGACGACCAGAAGAACCCCCAGCACCTGAAAAAATATGTAATTTTTCATAAAATGCTTAGGCGCTCATTTATTCATTTTTGAGTAGAAATTCTCAATTTTTCTTACCAGGCATACAATAATGAGCAGTGTATAAACATGAATACTAGCAGTGGGCAACGATTCGACTTCCTTAAGAGCATCAGCAGCCTCTGGCAGATCTGACTTCAACTCCAGAGCATGTCGAAGATGAACAGCCGCTTCTTGGAAGTGGCCATAAGCCTGAAAATCACAAAAGGTGCCAATAAAGGGGAATTCATTGGACTTCAAGTTTTGAAGGTCAATAGAAATTAACCCTTTACCTTGAATATCTGTCCCAATGTGAGATACTGCTCCCAAGCATTGCGATCTGGTGGCTGGAGCTCCAGGGAACGTCTCGCCAGATAAGTCGCATCGTCAAGGTACTGTAGTGCCATTAAAACCCTCGCCAGATTGAGTAACACTTCGGCATTGTGAGGAGACACTGCCAGTGCTCGCCTGAAACACTCGATAGAACGCTCAGCATTGCCTTTAATCCGCCAAAAATTGCCAATCTGGTTGTACAATTGCACCGACTTTGGTTTCTGCAAGAAAATCCATTTGAATGTTATAAATAAATGATCCAGGCACTTGAATAGCGATAATAATTTTATTTCCATGGAGTACCTCTCTCTTGGCCTTCTTGAGACGTCTCTCCAGCAGATCAATGTCCACATCCTCGACCTTGGTGCTCCCCTTCTTGAACATTAGGGCAACGTGGGGCTCTGGTACCAGTGGGTGTTTATTTCGATTGGCAATACCCACGAGATTATCGTAGTACGTGTAATTTACCGGTTTACCACAGTCCAGGACAATATCATCGCACTGCTGACCAGTGGTGCAGACACTCTGCTCAGTCCCACTGGTTGACGATGATGTTGTCTCGGTGATGTTGGATGGCTCCGTCAATCCGTAGGACATCAAGTGTCTGCCAATTTTTAGGTGGAGAATATTTTAAGGGGCTCTTTTAATGCTGGAAAGCACAGCAAGCCACACACAAAACACTAACTACGGGCAAAAACAGAAAACTACAGTTAGATACGACTGGGAGTGAACGTGCTCCATTGGCTCTCATCACTGGATATTTTATAAAATTCTAAAAGAAAAATTCATTTCACCTGTGGACATTTTAAAATCAGACTAAACTAAGTTCAACATTGAAATCGGTAGCGGCAATAAATATAAATTAAATCTAAATAGTTCCCTGTGGTAACACGATTGTTTAATAAAAAAGCGATTAAGACAATTTTCCACATAATTAACGAAAAAATGAGGGCGAGATTTTATGTCACGTTGTCCTCGAGGTATGAAATCATCACTGAAAACATTAATGCAACACTGAGGTGACCCTGAACATTGCTCCTACAGGCAATTCAAGTGCTAGGTGGCAAAACACGAATAATCATGCCTGGAGATAAACAACCTCTAAAAACGTGATAACACCGAGGATGCATGCAGCTCACCGATCGGGATTTCCAGTGACAAAGCTACTGTACTCGTTGCAGTAAACCTGTAGTTTCTCCCGACTCTCGGTAGCTGCTGTTTTGCTCCATCCCTGTCCATTGCTCGAGCTGACTGTTGTTGCGAGGATGTCGAAGATGAGATCGTCCTCGACGGTGGATGAAAATTGTGTTGCCTTAACAACACCATCAGCACTCAGCCTCCAGGACGTGCGACTGTTGGACAATCGCACCTGAAACACCAGGAGGCATATCGCATAACTCGCGATTCGCCCGTCCGACCACATCCCCAGGTCTGATGAGCTCCGGTCACCTCTGATCTCCAGGAGTTACTTGTGCACAATCGAGTGAGTAATTTTGACGTAACCTTAACACTAAAGGCACCACATCATCTGGCATCACTGGAGTGGGGCAGTACGGGACGGAAAGTGGTGGATTGCGCGTGCGTTGGCGTTGCGATGGGCGCCCTCCATTACGTGAATTCAAAATTAAATTTCAACATCTCCCCAAAGAGGATTGACTGAAGTAGAGGCTCAATTCTGGGGGTTTGAGCGACCCCAGTGGCATCGTAGTACTGCACCCCAAGAGAGGGAGGGCGCAACACGCAACGCGGGGGTGTCCATCAAGTCGACGGGGTGAATTTTATTTTCTGCTGTACGAATGCTTTTTGTTTTTCATTTGTTTAACTGAAATTTAGCCGACTGTAGCACGTACGGAAGGGGGAAACCACATCTTGTGAAATTTCAATGGAAAAAATTATTCAATATGTTGAAGATATACCACTAATGAGTTTATATTTTTAAATGAGCCAGTTGTCCTAGTGGTAATGTGCTCGGCTGGCACGCCGGCGGCCCGGGTTCGATCCCGGCATCATTCATTTTTTTTTTTAAATAATTCCAATTTTTTTTTTTTGTTAATGGCAAATCAATCGAAATATTGTTTAAAAACTGAATATTTGATAATCGAGGAGATATGCAATGAAATTGAACAATTTGACATTTTTTAAAACGAAAGTTTTTCAATATATATACTCCTAATGAAATTATATTATTGCAATGGCGTGTTGTCCTAGCGGTAACGTGCTTGCCTACCACGCCAATGGCCCGGGTTCGATTCCGGCATCAATCAATTTTTTTTTTTTCATATTAATTCCAATTTTTTTTTGTTAATGGCAAATCAATCGAATTATTGTTTAAAAACTGAATACCTACTCGATTGTCATGTTCCCCTGATACTTTTTCAAAATTTGTTAATGGCAAATCAATCGAATTATTGTTTAAAAACTGAATACCTACTCGATTGTCATGTTCCCCTGATACTTTTTCAAAAATTT